ACAAGATGAATCCGTGGAGCTCACGTTTCAATTAAATTACCGATTTTAATACAACTAGTATGTCGTAATACGCATTTTTAGACTCATTAGAAAATAAATCTGGTATAGCTTCTTTAACTGGGACATAAATAAATAGAAATACAAATTTGAACAAATTAATAAAAATCAGAAAAGGAGCTCTGTATAAACTACTGGGAGGACACAGCAGAAGTGTGAGAGCTCAGGGAGGTAGAAGTCGGACGACACAGATCATAGTTCAACAGAACCGAGTCAAAGACCGAGGACTGGAGGACCCTCCGCACGTTGCACTGCACCACCAGGGAGGCGAACAGAAGAACCACAGCACAGTCTGCATCTGCACCACCGAAGGCGGCAAACTACCTCAGCACAGTCTACACCTGCACCACGCAGGGAACAGAAAGACCTCAAACAGACACACCTGCACCATCAGGGGCCGACAGCAGAGGACCAGAGGAACTTCTTCCAACGTGAGAGCAGACGAAATCAATGGTGTTATGTTCGAAAGAACAGATGTAACAGTGCAGTTTAATAACACAACCATTGAATGAGACCAGCAGAAGACCCAGAATGACCCAGAGAGAGCTGAAAGATGAGAGAGGACCAGAGGCAGACCACGTGTGCAGCTCACAGAATATGTTATTGTTAGTTCAGTATAAGATCACATCAAGAAAACCAAAACTTCACCCAAACTAGTATCCACAATCAGAGACCAATACAAGAAACGTGTTAGAAGCGTAACTGTGTCCATCTCAATAGTACAGTATCAATCAAATCCAATTTAGAATCTAAATTTCTGTAGCCTCAATCCTGGTATCAACAGACCCTTCGTCCCTTTCGGTACAGATCCGTCCCTCAATGTGCTCCTAGGAGGTTCTCACTTTTCACCCACCAGACCTTAAGAGATGCTCGTCTATGCAGAAGGCTCTAAGGGCATTGTCTCATCCATCAGGACGCAATTGTCTCCATGTGTTTGTTATAATTTTAATTTCTCTGTGTTTGTGAACTGTTTTGATTCGCCAATTTGTGGTTGGTGAATTGACATCTTTGATAAAGTCCTAAAAAGATAAGTAATGTTTCTCAGGACTGCATTCAGGGAGCAGGGAGGACAGAGCCCACTGCCATTATTGGGAAACTAATAATTATTATTAGTTATAAATATATAAGTTATACTCCACTGTCCTATGCTTTAATGTATATTCGCACGTTCCCATCAGTTATGATCATTTCCTGAGTCAAAATCGCCGAAATCCCGATATTCTAATACAAAGAGACGAGGTGAGGCTGCGCTCCTGCGTGCCTCACCCCAGACCGCTCCCCACAGAGTTGTGTGTGTGTGTCTGAGTGCACTCAGCTCGTGCAGTTGATATATCAACCGTATGTTTCAAATATCCTGCTTTAAAAACATTTTTTAAACCTCTTATTGTTTAGTAAGTGTAATTGCACGTATGTAGTACAATTAGTATATAGTAAAAGTCCTTTTGACGTAGATGAACACACAAGAAAAGCTTGCGTGAGGCAGGCGTATCTGTGCCTCACCGCAAGGGTGATAGTGAGCATAAAGTTCATACCAGAGTTGCTAAACAACAATCAGCCCCAAAATGCTATTACTTTTGCTGGAAAAATGGATGATTTGAATGAAGATTTTTTTTCTCAATTGGACTTCAACAAAGAAAGAATTAATAAAGACTGGGAGACACCACTGTACTTACGAGGTTCGTCCGCTGCGGGAGGAGTTTGTTATCTGTGTTTTATGTTGAACAATGACGAGTACCGGCAAAGTAAGTGCTTTCCGTAAACACTGATTCAAACACTGCTCAAGAGTTTCTGCAACTTGTTTTAAATTAAGTTTATGTTCCTCGCGTCACTCTCTCCTCGCGTCTCCGTCTCGTCCTCTGCTCCTCGAGCACGTATCTCTGCTCCTCTCGGTCTCTCTCTGCTCTCTCTCCTCGCGTCTCGCTCTCCTCGCGTCTCCGTCACTCACTGCTCCTCGCGTCTCCGTCTCTCTGCTCCTCTCTGTCCTCTCTGCTCCTCTCGGTCCTCCGTCTCTCTCTCATCAGCGTCTCCCGGTCACTCTCTGCTCCTCGCTCACCCGTCTCTCTGCTCTCTGCTCCCTCTCTGTCTACGTCTCTGGCTTCCTCTCTCTCGCTCGCTCCTCTCTCCTCGCAGTCTCTCGCACCTGCGCTTCTTAAAGATGTTGTTTGATGCGGGACAGAGTCAGCATGCTAGATTTTGTGTGAGTTATTAAAAGAAGCTGGTTCTCTTATCTTTACCGATATACTAAAGTTTGTGGAATGTCATTGCATTGGGTGATTAAATGCTATTTTATTGAATAATTATTGTAAATCAGACTTTTAAAGTCGAGTGCCTCCCATCACACCTCACCGCACTCCTGCTGTTTCTAAAATCTATTTTGTTTTAGAATTATATAAACATCAGGAATAACACCTTTGGTAAGAAACTATTGAAAATGGACAAAAGCCTCTTTACATCTAAGAAAGTAAGAGAGTGTCCATGCACTAGGATCCGACATGTGATATTGGATTATTAAAACTGGGGTACCTGACTTTTCATTAATATAATAACTCTGCAATCTCCCCACCGGAGATCTTTATATACACAACTAAATAATAATAATAATAATGCAGGGGTTTTACATAGCCACTCTCTCAAAAAGGCGTCACTCCAAACACAAAGGTCAAAAATACTAACTGAGCCAATGCTGCCACTGGGGCACACTGAGATAATTGAAAGAAAGTGATCTTCTGTGTAAGACAGAACCCTATAAATCAAAGATTTGAAAAGATCAGTAAAGAAGTTCTGTTCTTGTCCTAGACAAGGGACAGTTCATGCAGAAAGATCCAAACCACAGAGGCTCAAACTCAGGGTCCTTCTATAACTTTTATTCTAACATATCTGAAGTCAGGGGGGGGCAAGGGAGCCAAACCCAAACACTATAAATGTAACAGATGAGACTGAAGTTTTTTAACTATTGATCTTACCAATTATATGGTTATTTTAACACAAGGACTCCCAGAGATTTAGTTTTAAGCCGTAGAGACTCACCTCATTAGACTCTTGCCCTCATACCTTTTGACTTTCCTGTTTTTTAGCTGTATTTTTCTGTCATATTTTTATGAAATATATTTTTACGTTGTAATTCTGCATTAAAAAGGCAGAACTAGAGTTAATTCCTAAAGTAAAACTAATGTAGCCGTTTTGATCATTTGGCAACCAACAGGTGCTGTTCCTGACTGGTTCCTGTACTGCTATCAGTATCACTTAATAAAAGTGAGTATAGGTACAAAGTTTGTGGATCACTTTTAACAAATCATGGTGGAAAACAAACTCTTTGGGATTTTTTCCTGAATTGCCAGGTTATTGAGGAGAGAATCAAAAAGACGGCTCATGGCGACTTGGAAGTCCTGTGTAAAACTTTAACATGATGAAGAACACACCACATTAATACAGTTGACAACATTTATCACTCAGTGTTTGACCCTCCTGTCGGTAGTACTAAGTGACCAGCAGAGGGAGCCACACACCTGACACTGCACAAAGCACAGAAAGCCTATGAGAGTTCCTACACAAACAACACACACACACACACACACACCACACACACAAACAAACACTGACACACACACTCTGAGCCAGACAACCTCAGGTGCCTCCTCAAAGCCTCCTTGTGAGCCCTCAGGAGCCCCCGTGAGACCCAGGAGCCTCATCAGGAGCCTCAGGATCCACATGGTGTCTCTCTGCATGTGGAGGAACTTACTCGTGGTGACGACATGAGTTTTTCTGATGTAAAATCGATGAAAGGACTTATTGTTCTGAAATAGAAACACTATATTTAACACAGTATACTTTCCTTCTCTTCGCCACCAGGCAGACCAGTTCAGCACAGAGCAGAAAGCCCATTGCCGAGTCACACACCCCTAAGGCCCACTTTAGCTGTGAACACAGCCTAAACCTGATGCGTATCATCACACCTCCCGCTCTTTACACTGTAGTACATCCTGAAGGCCTCTTCTTTGGGAATGTTTGGTAAAGCGAAAAGCGGGATGTCTCCGAACGTAGTCCTGCTCCATCAGCTGGAAGTTCCAATTATATCATGAAAAGGAATTTGATCCAGATCGCTTTTGTGAAAGGTTCGAACCGTATTAATCTCTATCACCTGCGCCACAAAGCGGTTTATAGCAGTCAATAGTTCTAGAAGTACATCTAGAATTAAAACTATTTCCACTGCCTTATATTTAGAAACGACTTTTACATTTAAGTATTTAGGCACTTATTCGACTGACAAATGATTCACTTTAACTTTTAAAAAAGTAAATAAAGTGGTCCCTCACTCACTACATCTACCTTCTGCACCTTCACGGCCTGTGTGCTTTTTTTGTGGCAGACTATCAGGTACTATAAGTATTAGTAGCAGTTAAGTAGTGATAATAGCATAAGTTGTAGTAGTTTCAAATGTTTGTCTTTTAGTAAAGTAACTCAATTCTCTTCCTTTTATCATCTGTACAATCTCAAGTCCTGAGACAAGTGATACCGACACAGGCCTTTTTGCAAGATAAATAAAACCACGTCTTGCTACTGAGAACCTGAGTGAACCAGACGGTGGATGGTGTGTTCCTCGTCCATGGAGAAGGTAACTCCTCCCTCAGCATTTCCGCTGAAGCGCAGTAGGAACTTCCCTCTCTGCTCCTCTTCAGAAGATCTTCTCTTTGCCTTTGTCACAAAATCCATGATCAGTACTGAAACACGAGGAACAAAACCCACAATCAGACTGAAACACATAGGAAAAAAACCCACAATCAACTGAAACACAGAGGAACAAAACTCACCACAATCAGACTAAACACAGATGAACACCAAACCCATGAACAGACGAAACACAGAGGAACAAACCCACAAACAGACAGAAACACAGAGGAACCAAAACCCTGATCAGACTGAAACACAGAGAACCAAACCCATGATCAGACGGAAACACAGAGGAACCAAACCAAGATCAGACTGAAACACAGAGGAACCAAACCCATGATCAGAACTGAAACACAGAGGAACCAAACCATGAGCAACTGAAACACAGAGGACCAAAACCCATGATCAGACTGAAACACAGAGGAGAACCACACCCCATGATCAGACTGAAACACAGAGGAACCAAAACCCATGATCAGCTGAAACACAGAAGGAACCAAACCCATGATCAGACTGAAACACAGAGGAACCAAACCCCTATCAGACTGAAACACGAGGAACCAAACCCATGATCAGGACTGAAACACAGATAGAACAAAACCCATGATCAGACTGAAACACCAGAGGAACCAAACCATGATCCGACTGAAAACACAGAGGACGACCAAACCCATGATCAGACTGAAACACAGAGGAACAAAACCCATGATCAGACTGAAACACAGAGGACCCAAACCCATGATAACCAGAAACACAGAGGAACTAACCCAAGGAACAGACTGAAAACTCAGAGGGACAAAAGTTTTTGTCTCAAAGGAGGTATTCATACCCAAGACTGGAAGAAGCCAAAATCATATGTATGTATTCAGGCTCTGGCTAAGATTTCAGACCGGCGCAGACTCAGAGACCACAATTAGTGATCCAGGGCTAAATCCATTTGAGCACAGGGAAAAAAAACAATTTATACAATGAGTAGAGGATTGGTCAAACTACTTTTTCTATAATGTAACAATATTATCATATGCGTCTATATCTTTTTATCTGAATTCTTTATCATCACTGACCAACATTATCTTTTTTAATTAGGATTATGCCATGAAGGGCATGGGTAACTCGCGATTAATCGCAACTTTTTTATCTATTCTTTATTGTCCGTCTGAATCATCATTTTAATCTCTAAAACGTCACAAATTGTATTTTGTTTTTTTTAGAGTTTAGATTTCACACTCACTCAGAATGCAAAATGTCAAACAATTCAAAGGCGTCATAACACAAAGTTAACGTCGTTAACAATGAAGCCAGGAAAGCATTCCTCATTTCTACTTCAGCAGTCTGGGAGCGCTGTTTGTGCATTCTACCTTCGAGGCCGGAAAGCGACTCGTCTGTTTTATCTTTTTTTGACCAATCTCTTCATGGTAAATTCTCTTGACCAATAAAAGCATCCAGGTAAACCAGGGATGAAAATTTTCTGTGGATCCGCGAATTCCACTTTTTCGTGAAAATGCATTTCTGTGAAATGTTGTGGAACGCGGATTTGCTGTACATACTCGAAATACGGGATTCAAGTCCTACATTCTGACCCGGAGAAACTGTGGCCGCTTTGACACAGCTCAGCGAACGCAGCAGCCAAATCGGGTCATGGACCGATTGCGGACATAACATCCCCAGCTGTTGCATGTGCGGGTATTGTTTGTCTTCCCTCTCCCCGTGTCTCCTCCCAAAGACAACCAAAACTCACAGAAATAAAGCTCAGGTACCTACATTTTTGTTTGCATTGACAATGCAAGACAAAATGAAATGTTGTGAACAAATCCAACAGAACAAACCCACAACAGTTGTGTTTTTTAAAAATTGCTTACTTAGAAAAAAACAAAAAACTAAAAAGAGTCCAGTGAGTAAATTAATGACATTTAGGCTGAGAGAGGCTTTTAAATATTTTTTTCCACTATTTTTTTGACTTATTGTATTGATAAACATGTGTTTGTTCCCACATTGTTTTGGTTATTTTATTAATCTGTCCTTTGTAGAAGTTGTTTATTTTTGTATTATTCCTACTGAAGGTTTATAATAATAGCTGCATACTTATTTTATAGCCACAAATGTCAGCTCTCAAATTCTATTGGAATTATGTATTCTGTTTCGAGATAATCCATTCTGTAGAACATTGAATTTCAGGAAAAACTTCAGGTTTTGGAGGAGGTTCTCCATGTCGGCCGTAGTTTTTACAGTTATGTTAACTCAGTGTGTCGGGCCTTTATGCATAATTGGTAAAAATCCCCTCAACTACCCGTTCTAAGATCAAAACAGGGTGATAGACAATAAAGTAACAAAGTGCCTAACACTTTGTTTCTCAGTTGCGCAATCCATAGTCTTGACAAGAGCGTGGCGGAGGAGAGTTTGCATCAGCCATGTGTAGTGGATGTGCTACGGTGATAAACTAACGCATAGCTCACAACCCCCCAATCAACACTCAGATAACTTTAGTTCATCGACATAACTTCAGTTATGGCAACTTTTTGAAACCAGTTGCTAGACAAACTTTCTTTCAACAGCGACCGAAGCAGTAACAGCTAACAAGCAAAACACAAACCAAACACTATCGAAGCGGATTGTGGGCGGGGGGACAACACAATATGACTATATACAATGTAAAGATATAAGGAGCGTTTACGCAAATCAATAGAACCTGTAATTTTAAAAAATCACACTATTGATATTAGTGAGCCCAACTCAGTTGTAGTTACCTTTATTAGACGTTAATACCAATACTGGTGAAAAGAGACTGTTGTCTTAGCGTGAAATGCCGAAAGGACTAGCTTCAGAAGGAAAGCCTAGTAGCAAAAAGTTTGCTAGATTGACAAGAATAAGTTAACTGTGTGTATGCTGTGTTGAACCAGTTTATCGCCGTACACATCACTTGACTTACCACTTGATGGCCAAACACACCCAACGCTGATGCCAACTCTCCTCCTCCGCCACGCCTCATTGCCAAACAAGATGATAGCGAAACTAAGAACCAACTGTCCGGCACTTTGCTTTTTCATTTTTTTGTATCACCCTGTTATGATTCCCTAAAAGGGCAGTAAGAAGGGAATTTTTACCAATTATCGCATAAAGGCCCGACACCCCTGGTAAAACAACCGTAAAACCTGAACGGCCGACTTGAGAACCCACCCTCCAAAACCTGAAGTTTTATCCTGAAATTCAATGTCTACAGAATGATTATCTCGAAACATAGAACATAATTCAAAAGAATTTGAGAGCTGACATTTGTTGGCTATTAAATAAGAATGCATCGTATTATTAAACCTTCAGAGAATAAAACAAAAATAAACAACTTCTACAAAGGACAGAATAATAAAATAACCCAAAACAATGTGAGAACAACAACATGTTTTCTCATACAATAAGTCAAAAACTATGTGGAAAAAAATAATTTAAAAAGTCCCACTCTCACCCTAAAAGTCAAATAATTACTCACCAGACTCTTTTTTTGTTTCACATTTTGTATTTCAAGTAAGCAAAATTTTAAAAAACACAACTGTTGTGGTTTGTTCTGTTGGATTTGTCACAACATTTCACTTTTGTGCCATGCATTGTCCAATGCAAACAAAAATGTCGGTACCTGAGCTTAATTCTGTGAGTTTTGGTTGTCCTTGGGAAGACACCGGGAGAGACGGGGAAGACAAACAATACCCGCACATGCAACAAGCCAGGGATGGTTCTGTCCGCAATCGGTACATGACCCCCCCCGTATTAATTTTTTATATATTTTTAATGTTAAGGCGCGCGTTATCGCAGAAGCTGTGTCAAAGCGGACACAGTTTCTCCCGAGGTCAGAACGGAGGACTTGAATCCCGGTCGATTTAATGTAAACCGCAAACATCCCGCGGCCTCACACCCAATAAAGAAAAAACCTACACGCCACATTACACAGAAAATGGACTTATCAAGAAAAAGTTGGAATTCGCGGGTTCCACCAGAAAATTCAATCACCGGTTTTACCCTGAAGCTTTATTGGTCAAAGAATTTCAACCAAAAGAGATATTGGACCAAAAAAGAAAAATCAGACATGTCCCGCTTTCCGGGCCTCCAAGGTAGAAAAGCAACAAACAACAGCGCTCCCAGCACTGAGTAGAATGAGGAATGCTTTCCTGCTTCAATGGTTAAAGACGTTAAAAACGTTCAGTGATTATGACAGCATTGAATAGGATGACATTTTGCATTAAGAGTGAGTGTGAAATCTAACACTTAAAAAAACAACAAAACAATTGTGACAAGTTAATTAAGATGATTAAAATGAAGATTCGACGGAGCATAAAGAATAAGAATAAAAAAGTTGCGATTAATCGCTGAGTTAACCATGACCATCATGGCGCATAATCCTAATTAAAAAAGATAATTGTTGGTCCAGTGATGAAAAAGACATACAGATAAAAAGATATAGAACATATACAATATTGTTTACATTATAGAAAAAGCTCGTATGAACCCAATTCCTCTACTCATTGCTATAAATTGGTTTTTTTCCCAGTGCTCAAATTGATTTAGAGCCCTGGATCACTAAGTGGTCTCTGAGACTGCGCCCGAGTCAGAATCATATCCAGAGCCCCTGAATCACATACTATGATTTTGCTTCTTCCGAGTCTGTGTATGAATACCATCCTTTTGAGACAAACTTTTGTCCCTCTGTGTTTCAGTCTGAGCATGGGTTTTGTTCCTCTGTGTTGCAGTCTGATCATGGGTTTGGTTCCTCTGTGTTTTCAGTCTGGATCATAGGGTTTTTGTTCCTCTGTGTTTTCAGTCTGATCAAGGGTTTGGGTTCCCCTCTTTGGTTTCAGTCTGATCATGGGTTTTGGTTCCTCGTGGTTTCAAGTCTGATCATGGGTTATGTTCTCTGTGGTTTCAGTCTGATCATGGGTTGGATCCTCTGTGTTTCAGACTGATCATGGTTTGGTTCCTCTGTGTTTTCAGTCTGATCAAGGGTTTGGTTCCTCTGTGTTTCAGTCGATCATGGGATTGGTACCTCTGTGATTCATCGATCATTGGGTTTGGTCCTCTGTGTTTCAGCTGATCATGGGTTTTGTTCCACTGTGTATTCAGTCTGATACATAGGGTTTGGTTCCATCTGTGTTTCAGTCTGATCATGGTTTGTTCCTCCAGTGTTTCAGTCTGATCATGAGGTTTGTTTCCTCTGTGTTTTCAGTCAGTCAGATCATGGTATTGGTTCCTCTGTGTTTCAGTCTGATCATGGTTTGGTTCCTCTGTGTGTTCATCTGATTGTGGTTTTGTTCCTCTGTGTTTCAGTCATGCTCATGGCTTTGGTTCCTCTTGTGTTTTCAGTCTGATTGTGGGTTATTGTTCCTCTGTTTTCAGGTCTGATGTGGGTTTGTCTCCTCTGTGTTTTTTCAGTCGATTGTTGGGTTTAGTTCCTCTGTGTTTCAGTCTGATCATGGTTTTTGTGATCTAAGGCCAAAGAGAAGAAATCTTCCTGAAGATGAAGCAGAGAGGGACTTCCTACTGCGCTTCAGCGAAAGTACTGATGGAGGAGTTACCTCTCCCTGGATAGACACCACCAATCCCCGGTCTGTTCACCAAATCAGGTCTCAGTAGCAAGACGTGGATATTTATCTGTGCAAAAGGCCTGCAGTCGGTATCACACTGGTCTCAGGGACTTGAGAAAAGTAAAGTTGAAAAAAGGAAGAGT